TGAATGAAATATATGCTTTTATGTATAAAATTCCAAGATAATTATAATTTTTGCCCATTTTTAGGACTTTCATAAGTACGAGACACATCACATTTTCACAATTAAGCAAATAATAATGAAATGGCATGCACAATTTCGTCATCAAAACGTCACTTTTTCACACCTAAAGTTCAGTCATTTATCGTGGCAAGGCGCTCGTGCTTGTGGGTGTGTGGGGCTATCGATTTCGCCACATTTTGCCAGGCCGCCGACTGATTTTGAGAATCGCATGCTGACTACTCAGGAGCCTTAAGATACAAAGGAATTTAAGAGTGGAATGGACAACCCCAGAGCGACAATTTGTCGAGCAGCGATTTTTATTGTAAAGCCTAGTGAGAGTTTGCCTCAAATTAGACAATGTCTTCATATTTGTTGTAACATATTATTTCATCTGTACAAAGTTGCCTATAAATGGCCAATATTAGCACCGATGAGATACTATTAAAAACGACATGCCTTTGGACGAATTTTCGTGATTATATCAATGGGGTTCGGGAATAATTAAAGAAGGAACGATGACATTATCGACAATCAATAAAAAGTCTGCTATTATTAGCATAAATATTTCGATAATATTAAATACATTATTAAATTCGTGATTTTGTATTATGGGGCATTCTGTGGGCAAAAGATCGAGTAAAAAGGGCAGCACGAAGCACGTCTTGAATGTGGGGCATTTTATTCTGTCAAAGCGAAAAGCGCGGGAGATATAAAAGTGTACAAGAGGTGTGGTGTGGAAAAAAAAACTAAACGATGTACAAGGCGCAATAGCGCCGCTGTGATGTCAACGTCGCGTGAGCTTATGGCGCGTGATTTGATGTCACGAACCCCTCCCAGCAAACGAGAATGGATTAAAATGGATTGAAATTTTTTTCTATCTAAATGCATATTTTAAATAGCGAATATTTTTTTGAATTTAATTGGATTCAATTAGATTCAATTGGATTGAAAAACTGCATTTCTTATTTACAATTTTGAATTGCACAGAAAAAGCTAATATTATTTTTAGATTGAAAGGCATAGAGATATGCTTCATGCAATTCCTATAAATAAATAAAAATGCATTCATTTTAACATTCGTGAAATAATCAATATTTCGGAAAATCTGAATCCATTTCAATTCATTTCAATCTATTCTCGTTTGCTGGGCTTCCCCGCGTTCATGATGTCCAATCCGAGTCTCTGGATACCTCCGTGTGAGCAACGCGTCTCAACAGTTTCAATACGGTCGGCTAGGTTCTTGTTCGAACATAAGATATCGCGATCATCCCCTCGTCTAGTTTTTCTCGTATGATATGATATGCGATGTCAATGTGTTCAGTGCGTCCTTTCTCGATGTGGTTTTTCGAAAAGTCGCTGCTTGGTTGTCGCATCGTAGTTTGCGTCCTTGGGATGGTAAGTCTGGTAGGCCAAGTTCGGTGATGAACATCTGTATTCACATGGCTTCCTTACTCCTGTCGCCAGGGCGATGTATTTTGCTTTCATGCTCGAGGTGGCTATGCACTTCTGCTTTGCTGACTTCCATTGTACCAAGTTTTTCCTTAGAGGATCGTCATACCAGTGTATGAGCGATCGTCGACTTCGCCTGCCCAATCTGCGTCGCTGTGGATCCGGATTGTAGGCGTTTGTCCGACTCGGTATAGGAGCGCGTAGTCCGCCCAGTTTGGTTCCGCTCAGGTACGTGCTTTGCCTGTGCTCGGCCGGGATTCGCGTTGAATTGGGATAATTTGGTTACTGCGTGTATTATGTCGGGTCTTGTGTTGAGAGCCAGATGCATTAATGATTCTATAAGTTGCCGATATGATACTCTGGCCATCTCTCTTCTATCTCCTTCGTCGTGTATTACTATAATTGTTCGACTGTTTTTGCGGTACACGCAACTCGACAATTGTAGTCTTTGAAACCCGTTTTCGGTTAAGTATTCGTTGATTTCCATATTCCATCTTCTTCCGGATTATTTTAGTCCGCAAATGGATCGTTCGAGCTTAATCATTTTTCACTTTTCGATTTCGAGCAGGGGTGGGGCCTTCATGTATAGTTCCTCTTCGAGCTTTCTGTTTCACTGTAGTCTATTCCCTTCTTCCTGCGCCATCAGCCTTGCCTTGAATCTTGAAATTTTACCTTCGGAGTTCTTGAGTGAGAACGTCCATCTACATTTTACGCAGCGTTTGCCTGGCGGTAGATCGGCGACTTTCCAAGTCCTTCGATCTTTCAGATTCTCAATTTCTTCTTGACTGACTCGTTTCCATTTCTTCATTTGTGGTGAGGCTAAAACCTCATCTATGTGGGGCTCGGCCACTTCGACGAAGTTTATCTCCACTTCGCTCTCCGAGGGTCTTTGTTCGTCTGCGTCGGTTTACCTTTTCAGCCGTATGGATTTCTCACTATTTTCTTAGGCCAGCTACTACTTTCTTCCTGCCAGCTTTTCTTTTCTCTTGGCGTTCGTTCTCTGCCCCCGCTGTCTGTTTTGCTTTGACAGTGTTCTTTGTGTCGTCCGATGCGTCTCCTGATGAGTTTTTCAACGTTGTTCGTGATTCGTCGTTCTTCGTTCTATTCTCATAGTTGCGCTGGGGTGTCATGGTTTGCTGTCTCTCTCTGACCATACGCGATTATATTTGTATCTGTGTATCGCGCTATCTTTATATATCCACTCGTAATCGTTTTATCTTCGGCAAACCGTACACGTTTCGTTACGTGTACGTCCGCTTTTTCTGGACACCAAAGGCGGTATCTTTTAGTCTGTGACACATCCGATGAGGAAACATACTACTGCCCTATCATCGAGCTTCCTTCTTCCCTGTCTGGGTAGGTTAATGTAAGCTAGGCATCCGTACGCTAAGTGTTGAACGCTAGGTTTATTACTGGTCCATATTGTGAGTGATATTACCTCTCCTTTAATGGACGAGTGTCCAACTCTGTCGCGGATATAGGCGGGGGTTTCTGCCGCTGTGATGTCGACGTCGCCGTGTGAGCTCACGGCGTGATTTGATGTCACGAACCCTTCACATTTTTTGTCAAAAAGGCCACCTCCTTGTCCAAAATTCAGAGGGGCCTACAGGACCTTTCATTTTGGGCTTAAATTGTTGCTTGAGATGTCTGCTTTTAAAAAAGTGATCTTTTCAGAAAATCGAAATGGCGCACTCAAGATGGCTGCCAGAATGAATAAAGTCGAGCGGAAAAAAAAATGATAAAACGGGGAGCACAGACTCTTACATAACGCATAACACATGAGGCATGAGAAATTGAACCAATCAGAGTTCTTTTTCTTAGAAAGGAAGGAAATGAAGGATTTCGATTGGTACATTTTCTTATGTATTATGTTATTTTCTTATGTTATATGTTATGCAAGAGTCTGTGTTCCTCGCTCAAACCTTCAGAAGAACTACAAGACCTGATGAAAATTAATAGCAGCAAATTTTTGGCTGCTGAAAATGAATCTGATAATAAAATTTGGCACTTGGCCATATATTGGCCGCTTCTGAAAAACTGCAAAAATTCGCTTTTTTGCGTATATCTCGGAAAATATTGGTTTAAAAAAAAGTGTTTAATAAAAAATAAAGTTCTTGAAATTCTTTATAAAGAAGGTCCTATGCTATAATTTTCGTAATTTTAACCGTTTACGCGTAATATGACTTTGAATTACGAGATCCTTTCAATTTCTTATAAAAGTCTATGATTGTACAGCACACCCTATACAATCTATATACAGAAAAATTTGCTGCCATTAATTTTCTAGGTCATGTAGTATTCTTCTGAAGGTTTACCATCTTTTTTTCCGCTCGATTATGTTCATTCTGAGAGCCTTGAATGCGCCATTTTGATTTTTCGAAAAGGCCACGTTTTTTTTTTAAAGTAGACATCTCAAGCAACAATTTAAGCCTGAAACAAATCCCGTAAGCTCCTCTAAATTTTTGACAGAGGGGAGGGTCTTTTTGACAAAGAATGCCTCTATATAAATACTGCATAAATAAGTACGCATATTTTTAATGCTATATACTGATGAAAAAAATTATAATTTTTTTTTCTCTATAGTTATCATCTCTATTGATAATCAAACTTAGATAATAACATTAAAATCACAATTTTAAATAAAAATCGAGTATTATTAATGGCAAATTCGGCACACATGCACTGATTTTACTTTAGTGCTGCTCTGATATGATGTGAATGCAGAATCACTTTGATGCTATGTCAAATTGCACTGTCAGTGCAACATTTCTTGAACTCATTCAGTTTATTCCGAATATAATTCAGCACTACACTGAGTCAATTTTCATTTGCCTAATACAACAATAATGTGTGACACTGAAAAAGTTCGCACTCAGTGCGCACTAGTATATACTGCCGAATTCGCTATAAGTTTTAAACATACATATACATATATATGTCTACGAAACTAATAAATCATAAAATTAGTATTACGTTGTCAGTTTCTTACTCTTATGCTCGTTTCCAGCAATGTATAATAGATTAACTTTAATCTCGGTTCAACTTACTCTTTGTCTTTGTCTAGTTCTAAAGATGAGAAAAAGATGAAGAGTAAGTTGAATCGAGATTAAAGTTAATCTACGTTGGTGGAAATGGGCCTTAGGCCCAGTTGTCCCACCTTTTGGTAAATTTTACCTGTTAGATAAATCTGGTAATCCGCGCATGTGATTGGGTAATCTTGCTACTTACCCAACACGTAAAATTTATCAAAAGATGGAACAATCGGCTTAAATTTTAATCACTTAAATTTTAACAGTCAACTTCCGTAAGACCGGCGGTCTTTAATAGTATCTCGTCGGTGATATTAGATAAATTATATCACATTATATCAGTATACAATTATACATCACGCACTGAAAAATATCAAATTGTTTCGTATGGAATATTGAATTCCATAGTTCAAAAACTTTTTTATTTTCTTTAATACAAAAAGGGATCGATTCGTCTTTCTGAACGAACAAGATTTTATTCAATTGCTCTGCACCGATAATATTTATTAATTAATATTAACTGCAATTATTCGGAAGCCTAATTCGTAAATATAGAAAATATACAAATTCTCGTTTTCTCGCTCTTGCAAAATTAATTAATAACATATTGGATATATTAGAAAATCCGAGGTTAAACTCAATATCACGTGTTTACTCTGGTACGATCTTTTAGAGATTGAATATAAATATTTTGTTGGCAAGAGCACAGAAATTATTATAAGAAGGAAATATATACGAGGCCCATTCCCGGCGTATAGTGTGCATGCGTGTGTGCGTGTATGCGAGCGTGCGTGCAACGCGCGCGCGCGTGTGTGTGTGAGTAGCGTGTGCAGGATGATAAAAAGTTGTGAGTCTGATAAAAAGTTTGTTTTTTTCCCCGAAAACGGTTAGAGATAAGAGGAAGACACCTATTATCAAAATTGTACAATAAGTAAGAGACATACTTTGATGTTGAGTAAATGTCCTTAATTTTTCATTATTAATAAATGAAGATTTTTTTTTAATAGAAAGGAGTATTTTCTAGTCATTCCATCGATGGTACTCAATTAGTTGAATTTCTTTGTATTAGAATAATTCTTTGATAATTCAACTATCTTTGGAATATAAATTAAAAAAGAAACAGATTATAAGTTAGAATTAATATTATAATTATTGCAATAAATCAAAATTCACTATGTTGAGCTAAACATGCCTGTAGTCTTCATGGAAAGTTTGCTTGAACTTTTTCTAACTCTTGAATCGTCATTTCACAATAAAAATATTTTTTATTCTTTCTACCATGTTTTTTGGTAAGCTGTTGAAAGTGAAGAGTGAAAGAGCTGGATTATTTTCTTACCATCCGAAACATATAGACAGAACAAAAAATATTGAGTTTCAAAATTGATTTCAGAAATCTACTCTCAAGCGTTGTTATGGCTTTAACGAACACTTTGTATGTTTTGTGTGTGTGTGTGTGTGTGTGTGTGTGTGTGTGTGTGTGCGCGCGCGCGCGCGCGCGCGCGTGTGTGTAATATATTTGTCTGCAGAACAGGAGTATAACAATGGTCAGATATACAAAAATTATGATCGGTCGATTAAAAAAAATTGAGCTAATCTTAATATCTACGCTTACGTTACATTCATGTAGATGTCGACTGGGACTGTCAGACGACATACCTGATCGAATACAAAAGAAGCCAACGGAAACTATAAAGCGACAGTGACAATAATTTATATTTGATAAACATAAAATGTCACTGACGTCTAACTTCAGCAGCGATTTTTAAATTCTTTGTTAAATAAATTAATTACATGACTTGATTCATATCTTCTTTTCTGACTTTTCAGACTTTATTATTTTATCCATATTCCAAAATTTGCTTGTGATAAAACAAGAGATACCTGAAAAGTAAAAATTTATTTAGCAACTGAGAAAACGATATTTATATCTTTTTGTTTTCAGTGTATTCGTTAAGAAATTGTAATAAAAAAATCTAAATCCAGGTGATTTTTATTCACTTGCAATATCGCCCTACTTTATCTTACCCTTCGCTGGTCAAGACATCCTTTAACTTGGCCCGTGTAATCAAATGATCATTGCACTTGAACCATTGATCTCTCTGTTGCCTGATGAAAGCGGTATAATGCCCAGTCTCTAAAGAACCTTCATGATTTATTACGGCAAACAGAGAGTACCTATTATTAGCAATCATATTTTAATTCAACGTAGATTTCTTTTAAAACGATATAATGTTGGTTACCCAGAAATAGAAAAAAAATTCTAATTCAAGAGATATCACTACCTATTGTCGCTAAAACTCATATCCTCTCCGTTTTTCGACAAACCATTCAGCATAGCGCTGTTGTTGTTACCATTGCGTCTATGCGACATGAATGGCGTCATATCTAGTTGTTCGGGGAACGAGATAAATGTAGAGATCTTCTTTTTAAAAATCTTATCCTGGATTATGAAGTGCTCAAAGCGCTTTAGATGAAAGATCGCCACGATCGGCAATTGCTTCATCGTTAATTGCTTTGTGCTTTCTTGGTAAGTCTCACAGTTGCTACATTTGATCTTTGCACTAGAACCTAAATGCTCGGCTCTGGTGAATTTTTCCAGACAATCTAGCAAGGAAGTGGGTGGCCCGGGTGTATTAGAACCAGAGGTACTAGCTGCCGAAGTTAGATCTAAAGATATGTCCCAAAATGGATCTATTGTAGTAGACACTCCACTGAAAAGGAAATGAAGAATAATAGAGCTAAGTCTGATATAATAAAAATTCTTGTTATGTTAAACAGCTTATTTTTACAATGTATTATATTTGAGAAGTTTTGTATTAATCTGACGAGTATCGATTAATCACGTTGCAATTAGACACAAGTTACTAACAGCACTCGACCAGTGAAAAGCTCTAGGCGCTATATAATCGTAACACTGTGGTGGTTCAATCGAAATCCTCCTTAATCTGATATATAATATTATAATAATTATTTCTATATAAAGTAAGATATGCATTTATCACATTATTTAATGTGCTTTATAGCTTCTACATGATATATATCTTCTCCATCTATTAAGTGTCTTCTTAGAGAGATTTAGAGACTAACATACTTGCAAGCTTGACAAACAACATCACTTTGAAGGCACCCAGTAAATATTTGATCGATGATACACTTGCAGTGATGAGGGTTGTCTTTGACCAGTATCGTAGTGGCTTCACAGTGCTTATGAAGGACATCCAGTGTAGCAATGAAGAATTCATGGGCATCCTGCTGCTCATAGCCTGCCAGATGTCTGACGTGGGTCCAAATCAGATGGAGAAGTTTGTGAAGCGTCAATGGAGCTTTGTTGCCGGAATAGAACTCCTGGAACAAATGGGATACCTCGCAGACCAAACAGAGACTCGGTTGCGGGCAGTGATGACGGTCAGCAAGGAAGTAGTCGCGTAACAGTGGAGTGTGAATAAGCGCCTGTACAATGCAATTTACGAAACAAGTATTTCCAAGATTGATGAGTCCCCTTAAACCTGAAATTAGCATTAATTTTTACATTAGCATAATTATTCTACAAAGAATATTTGAATCATTATTGTCGAATTATATTTTTTTAACATAATACAATACATTATAACATTATTTGCATTTAATAAAATTTATTTAACTTGTACAATGTAATCTAGAAATTGAACCAACAATAAGCTTGAGAATGTTTTTCAATACCTATAGTGGAATTTTCTACAACGCGTCTTCGGCGCGGATGATTTCTCAGCAACTCCGCCTCCGTCTGCGTGGGTTCCCATGCACGATAGAATTCCCCGAAGCTCAAGGATTTTGCCAACTCGCTCCATTGCGCTTTTGCTACTTTTAACAACTCTCTATCGTATACATAATCACCGCATTGGAAGCACAAAATATTCCCGTAACACAGATCAACGGCTGCGATAAAACGGAACAAATAAAACGATATAAAAGGGCAAATTGATTAACTATTATACATATATAAAAGATTCACGTTATATAATTTTATTTATTTATATAATGTTTATTTTTGACAAAATATTTGAATGCATGTAATAGATCTAAACTGAAAAATATTCCATTACCTAGAAAATGTTTCTTCGTTTTTGCATGCTCTTGTATATGGCCTTTTACATAACAGCCAAAAAATATACAATGAAGACAAGAATGTAGGCGATCCTTGTAAGTTTTACATGTGTGACATAAACAACTCACAGCCTGCAAAATAAAATGCCTAATATTAATCGTTTTACGTTTACACATTGTCTTATTTATTAAAACAAACGAGTAAACTTAAACTTTAAACAAAATTTAAATTTAAAGTAATTATTTTAAAATTTAGATATGACGTAATTACTGAGCATGCTCAGTAAAATAATTTCATTTTCATTTCATATTTTGCAAAATATCGGTTAGAAATCATTTTTAAGACTATTTCAAACCGAACATTTATAAAAAATTGTTTCTGTTTTATCTAAAGAGTAATTTTCAAATAATTAGTATATCGATATCGACTATTCTTAAGGTAGAGGGGCGCGTCATATTAAATATATTTATTAAAATAAATTAAAATTATAATATAAATATAATAATTATAAATATAATAATTATAAATATTATTCGCTCCGAATTGTAACAAAATAAACTGGATAGATAAGTTAAACCACGAGCAACAAAGGGCCTAATTAAACTAATTATACATTAATACAACAAAAACTACACATTTCGACTAAATTAATTGTAAGTCTTCATCAGTCTAATGATTTTAATTCACGACGATATGTCGAAAATTTTTCCTTTTTTCTTGTTATTCATTATTCCTAATTCGTTATTCCGAACAGGTTTCTTATAACCTGAATTGAATTAATAAATTGTATCCTATTGGCAGAACATATAACGCCAACCAATAGTATAGAACATCCAACTCAGTGCAAATCCGCTCAGGTTGAAAACGCTAATAGTCAAATGTGAAAAGAATATAATATAATCAATTACTATGATTGGTGAATTTCTTAAGATTTAAGGCTTACATCTATTGTGTTTATCGTACACATGAAATATTATATATATGACCCTTTACAATAAGCCCTTTACAATAATTTAATTTGTTTTAATTAAAGCTTTAAGTAACTAAACCTTAAGTAAGAATATTAAAACCTATAACGGTCGAAGCTGGATTTTTAATGCTTTAAGTAATTTAATATGAATTGTATACATACTATATGTATGTACAGGGTGAGTAAAAAGTTCCGGACCGGTGAAATATCTCAAAAACTAAGCAGTTTCGAAAGAAATGTTTCCTACAAAAATTGTAGGGTTTTAAGAGTCGATAGGAGTGACAAGTCAATTCATTTTCATTTCATTTGTGCAGCTACATATCTGCACTCTATTATATAAAAAAATCAGACTTTATTATATAAAATATTGTCTCGTAGAAAAAATATTTTGCCATGTGAAACTCGTTTTGGATTACATTTTACGAAACTACGAAGCTTTAAAGAACTAAAGTTTACAATTTCATTCTTAAAAACATTTTAATGAATAAAATGCTTCTAATAAAAAAAAAGGAGCATGAAACCACAGCACTGGATGTTATTTGTGAAATTTAATAATTCATTACATTAATAACAAAATCTTTATATTTAAAGATTTTTTTGATTTATAAATCACGTTCGTTATAATTATTTATATTGGTATGCTTCTTATTTACGGTGCAGATACCTATCTTTACGTTGATATTTTATCTCCAAGAAATAATATTGTCATAAAACTTTTTCGGTTTTTTTCTTTATGAAGTACGTACAAAGGCGGATTTGCAAATTGATTCTTAAAACGTCTACTTATCATATGAAATAATTATTTAAAATATACGATTTTCGCTAAATACATCTTGTCGCTGTATGCTCCTTATTATTTATATTTTGTATTGTTTCCTCTCTAAAAGTTTTTCAATTCTGATTCTTGAAAATTGTTTAATAATAAAATTATGTGCATCTTAACTGCACTGTAGTACATGTAGTACATGTCGAATGAGATATCAGAATAAATTTTTATTTTGCCTTTTTCCCCAAAAAATCTCTCTATACGAACCTTCAGGAGTCTTTCCTGATTACGAATATCGCAATTAAAACGCGATTCATGTAATATTTTAATCATAATTTTAGCATAAAGAAACACATACATAAGTGTAGATCTAGGTCAATTATGCTGATTTTTTCTCGAAGAAATAATATTTCCTTATGGAACTTTTTGGAATTTCTTTCTTATGGTGCTGGGAAGGTACAGAGCCGATTTTGCAAATTTATTCTTGAAAATTTTTTATTAATAAAATTATGTACACAGAACTGCATTATAGTACACATCGGATGAGATATCATTAGAAAAATGTTAACGTATTGAAAAACTATAAATAAAGCTTTTGCAAAAGCCTCGGTAGTCTAAAGGCCATGATACACAAAAAAACTTAAGCAATAAAACATAAGCAATAAGCGAATTGACCAATCACGATCCGTAAGACCATAACGTAAGTAGTAGTCAATCCAGCATGTTAATTTTCTTATTGCCTACATCTTATTACCTTTAAATTTTTTATATGTCATGGCCTTAAAAACTTAGGACGCTTGTACGGAATATAAGAATTCCGGGTTCGGCCTCCTGGCCGAGGTAATATTTTTCACAATAAAATTAATTTACATTTCTTACAAAATTATTTTACAGTTTCTCAGCATATTAACATCTTTCTAATATGATACCGGATTGAGCATCAAATTATTAAAATTTACTTGTCAATTTAATTTAATTTGTAATATTATTACAATAGTTTAATCGTGTTTATAAATGCGAAAAACCAATTCGCGCAGTTTGAATAACTATAAATATGGTATATATGCATGTACATACAGTGTTCCACACGTAACTGTGATCACGATTTTTCCGGCACTTTCGATGATGTGACAAAAATTATTTTGAATAAAAGTTAGTCAGTTTTCAAGCGACTACAAATTGCAATACTGAAAATTTGCAAAATATTCTTTTTTAAGAAAAAAAGTCAAGGTCATCCTAATTTTTTTAAATGGCACTACGTATTTTTTATTTCATCATATTGTAATTGATGTCAGGACGAGTTCAATGACCTGCTATACTATGACCTTGAGATGACCTTAAAGTCAGACGTGTGGATTCAATTAAACGGAATGACAAATTATTTTGTATTAAACTTTACATGTTTTTCATTCTTCAGAAAAAATATACCTGTAAACAAATTGAGGAACCGACGTAACCATTTCTGAATACGTAATGTGAATATGTATGTAATGTGAACATAGAAAAAAATGCCAACGTAATTTGTAGAACTTAGCATAGCTCGAACGCTGTTACGACTTTATTTATACTTGTGTTCTTTTTTAATTTGACATTGAACAAATAGTCTCAATTTGTCGAAAATGTATTTTTATAATGAGAAAGTTGATATGCAGCTGATACAAAAATTTTTTTCTACCGTAAAATATGTCCATATAAAATTTAATACAAATAAAATAATTTTTCACGAAATTTCCGAAGTTTCCGTTCATTGATTCCACATGCCTGACTTTAAAGCCATCCGAGGTCATAGTATAGCAGGTCTTTGAATTCTTGACAATATTGTGAAGTAAAAAATACGTAGTGCCATTTTAAAAAATTAGGGTGACCTTGACTTTTTTCTTTAAAAAAAAAAATACTTCGCAAATTTTTAATATTGCAATTTGTAGTTGATTGAAAATTGACTAACTTTTATTCAAAATAATTTTTGTTACATCATCGAAAGTGCCGGAAAAATTGTGATCACAGTTACGTGAGATACCCTGTATATAATATATATGTATAAGTATAATATAATTCATACTGAATTATTTAAAGCATTAAAAATCCAGCTTCGATCGTTATAGGTTTTAATATTCCTACTTGTTGTGTATTCACATTAATGTCTTAATGAATCATTTATTATTAAGTTTTAAGAAATTGATCAATCATAATCGATTGTTCTTCTCATATTCGACTGTAAATTTCTTAGAATGGCCACACACACTTTCCGTAATAATAATCGTAAAGTCTATTCTATAATGACTATGTTTATACAGCTAGATTTATGACGAAGTTATAACATCGATGTTATGAAACTGGTCAATCACAATCATTCCGTTCTTCAGAAGAATAGCTAGTTTTATAACATCGATGTTATAACTTCGGCGTAAATCGAGCCGTGTAAACATGTCTATGTGTTTTTTGTTTCTTGTTTCCTGTTTTTTTTTGCTATTTTTTACATCTTATCTTTTTGCTTATCTGATTTTTTGTTCTCTTATCGCGTGAGATAAAAGTTAGGCTTCGGAAGGAATAGGAAACAGTAGCAAGAAATACAATTGTTGTTGAAACGACAAAAAGAAGAAAAAAGCAAGAGGTAAAAAGAAGAAACAAAGAGCATATTATAAAATAGGTTTAAGACTTAACCAATCATAGTCAAGAATTGTCTAAAACTTTCAGTTTGATTAATTCTTATGCGTCATCTACAATACGCAGAGTAAGAAGAGTAAGAAATTGACCACAGTCGATTATTCTTCTCACATTCGATTGTGATTGGTGATTCAATTTCTTACTCTTATTTCTTACTCCGTGTATTATAGATGATGCTTAAAGCGTACAATGAACAGTAGCAGTAGAGGCTGTAGACACGTCGGGAGTAGACTAATTTTCCGGCCCAGCCAGAAATGATTGATCGATTAACGTCAAATCGATACTGAACTTCGCATCATCGCTTACGATTTGACATTGATCGATCAATCATTTCTGGCTGGACCGGAAAACCAGCTTACTCCCGACACGTATCTACAGCTTCTACTAAAGTCACTAGATTATAAAGTACCGCAATTGATTTCAGAAATTCGCGTAAAAACGGCCGAAGTGCATATAATACACGATTTGAAGTACACCAGGGTCCACATTGGGTCAATTGGGTACAGCTAACCTAACCGTACATTTTCGAAACATTTTCAAGCGTCAATCTCGAGATTGAAGGCGCAAATTCATCATCATTGTGTTGATATTAACATAATAAAAACCTCTTCAAGGTTTTTTTTCCAGTTTATCAGTATCGTGTTGTTAAAGTTAATAATGCCAAGTTGTTGTCTAAGTGCAAAAACACGTTTGCCTCGGCCGAATAATCTCTTAAAAATGCTCAAATTCGTGTAATCACACGTGTGATGTGTATTCTTGAACAGTTTTGAACTGTACTTACACGTATCCTTTGTGCACTTTTATGCACAAAACTTCTACGACAAATCCGTATTAAACTAAAGAACACATAAATTGAGCATTCGTACATATTCTTTTGTTCATAAATAAACTAATTAAAAGTAAAAACATTGATTTATATATTTGACGGCTTCATTTTCCCAAATAAAGCACGTAATACAAATGCATAAATTCGAAATGACCGCGTTTCGCGTGAAAATGGATGCGAGTACTTTATAGATCTAGTGACTTTAGCCTCTACTGCTACTGTTCATTGTAGACAACACAGTACAGTAAAGGTATAATTTCACGAGCTCAAACCGGCTGTTTCAGCGACAAAAAGGATCATTCATAAATTTTGACCTTTTGTGATCCTTTTTGTCACTGAAACGGTCGGTTGGAGTGGCTCGTGAAAATGTATTTTTAAGTATCGTCTACAATGAACAGTTGATCGATCAATCATTTCTGGCTTGGCCGGAAAACCCGACGTATCTACAGCCTCTACTGTTCATTGTAGACGACGCATTACAATTGCTATTATATGGAAAGTGTGGGGAGAGCTCCATTTGCGCATATCACTTCATGGATAATTTAAAATTTTCTCATTGGTAAAGCAGCGAAAAATTACAAGGAAATTAATGATCTATGATGTATGTAATCGGGAATGTAGACAAGCGGGATCCTCTCAAATGTGCGCGGACTCCCTTATATGTACGGTGACTATACATTCTTTATTGTAAAGGACAGTCCTTTTCAAGTAGCTATCTTTTAGATTTATTTGTTTCTTCAAAATTCAATTTTGTTTTCCAATTTTATTTTCCAATATTGTCCTTTATTATCCTTTATTTTGACATTACGGGAAATTCTTTTTTAACTAGCGTTCCAATGTCTAACATATTATATTAATAAGCAAATTTTTACGAAAAATGTTTTACAATCTCAAGCATATAAATACAATTTGTTTTTGTTAATTAGATTTCTTAATTTTTTAAATTAAATTTACTCAAACTAGAGTTGTTTTCATTTTTCATTATTTTGAACCTTTTATTATTTCAGATCAAGGGTTTGTTCCAGTCGAACCAGTTTCAAACTATCAGAAAACTGTACATCTCAATTTGATTATATTAGGTAATAAAATTTTATAATACACAGATCCAGACAATCACAAACTGGGAAAACATATAGGGAACAAAGCCCAAAATTTTCAGATTTCTCTTTTATTTTCTTTAAGAAAATATAGTCATTTTTTATAGTATTTATACAGGGTCTATAATAGAAGTCGTAGCGATCGAAGGATCTTAAGGGTCATAGAAAATTGACCCTTATCATAATCGACTATTCTTCTCATATTCGAATGAGATTGGTTAATTTTTTGACTTACAATTCTACACCACTACAACTTCTATTGTAGATCCCTTTGTTGTAGTATTAAAGCTTAAAGTAGCTTTAGTGTTAAAGTTTCCATTGAGAAAACTAATGCAACACTGGTGCACAATTAATGAGTACAATTGAATGCAAATCAATACATATATTTTCAGTTAATAGATAATTTAAACATTTTAATTATATATTTTTTATATTATATATTTGTCACGATAACTTTATAACCTTAAAAGAATTAAATTATTTATTAACATTGAAAAAATATATATATTGATTTACACTCAATTGCATCAGTGTTGTACTAGTTTTTCCAGTAGAATAGTAGAAAACGCTATTATGATTCCTACACATTAGGCGCGGATATGCTTGTCGCGCGTCACACAAAATGTGACGTTGTAGAAGCCATAATAGAATAGTAAAAATCCCGTTAACCTTAACGATAATGTCAGAATCATTATATCGTGTTGTGCTTTTTTTTAATCATATAGTATAAAACGTAACAGCAATATCAACAATATCCTTATTGTCGTTAAGAATTACAGGATAGGGGCTTAAGGATTATTTATACTGGCCGTAATACGTTAACTTATGCCTAATCTGGTAAGAATAATCTGGTAAGAATTGATCAATTACAATTGAATTGAGAGGAAAATAATCGACTACGATTATTTGATCAGTAAGCTCTATAATAAACTGGAGCAAGCCATTTTTATACTAATTACTAAACTATAGAAAGCTGCGGCCTAATGAAGAAAAGGAAGGCAAGCAATATTGGTTTTTCTGGCTGATTTCTACTTATAATAGTAAAACAGCATCAGCCAATCAGCAAATCCCTGACAAAGAAAACAGTATCAACTTTGCATTAGTGTTCTTGTTTAGGAATTGAGACATCCCTACTTTTCGATGGCTTGCTCCAGAGCTGCATTCAGATTCCCCACCCGAGTGCATCCAGAAAGCATTCAGATTCCTTTTGAGTGCCTTTATTGAGGGCGCTTAGGTGAAATGTATAGATTCCTACTCTATCCACCCGGAAGAATGGAAAAATCATCTGGTTCCTTGAGCATCATACGAATATATCTATACGAAAATTTAAATTTCAAGTTATGCCTGTATTATAAACAATATAAACCATAACTCAAAAGAGGCCAAGTATTTAATCATCTATTAAGTTTCACAGGTCGGGACTTAAGATACTGATAAGATATTTATCTTATATCTTTTATCATTATTGGATATATTTATCATTATTGTATATATTTTAGTTATATATAATTATATTGATTATATATGTAATTTATATTAAATCTGATACATTTACGTTATTATTTGCTGTAACCGATACATGTAGGACACTCTCTTATCTTAGAGTGCGTTCAGATTCCCAAACCACTCTGGTACTTTTTGCTAGGCTCCGCCCATTCATCCAGTCATCCAGCGATCACCCATCCGATGAGGAATCTGAACACAGCCCTGTATGTTATAAAATTCATCGACTATGATTGGACAATTCTAACAGATTACGGACATTACGGCCAGTATAAATGATACGGCTACAATATAAAAAATAAGGAATAATAATTCCAACCTATCAGAAATCATGTATTCCAGTGTATCCAATATCTGATAGGTTGAAATCTTTATTCTATTGTGACTACATTTTAAACAATTTTTTAAATGTATGTATATAAAAAGAGGCACAACAGAATGAAGAGTAACAGTTAGATAGAGCGAGAGAGAGAGAGAGAGAGAAACAGAGACATAATGGCTACATTTATATCATGCAACTTATAGGATAAACAAGGATGACATCTATTGTACAGACTACTGCCTAAATAAGTGCAGGGTGTAAACATAGCTCATGCAAATGTGAAAGCGAGACGCAGAGAAGATGAAAGATCTCTCTCTCTCTCTTTCTCTCAAGTTGCGTGACAAAGAACCTTGACCACGAATAGAAAGCGAGAAAGAAAAAGACTGACGTACCTTCCTGACGCGTGCCTCGGTCGATGTACTGGTCACGAAAAACGAGTGTATCACTTTATACGGTTGGATACCTTTTGCTGCTTTAAAATTATTTAAATGTATGCAGCCATGGTCGCTCATCTCAGGTTGGTAGGAGCGATGTGATCGACCTGATCGCACGACGTCCCTCTCCTTCGCGACACCGACAGACAGTCCCGATACTCGATGCCGTCGGCGATCCTCGTCGAGATCCCCCAGTGACGCGAATGCGAATGCGACGTGTACGATAACAACAATTTCTCGAGGATGACAGCGACGACGTGAGGAGTATAACTCGCTGCTGGCCTTGGCGGAAACGCGCGTGTTGTTGACATGGAAAAGAGAGTGGACCTTGGGAGAGAATAGGAGCGTAAGCAAGTGTAAACTTGCTCCTTCCAATCGGGTGGGAAAAAAATGTGAAAATGTGAAATGATCAATGTGAAATGGTGATCAGTCGAGTGGAGGTACCGTTGTCAAAATGTCAACCGCGGCGGATTGAGGAGAAACGCAGCGAGCAATTGTGAGCAATGGCGAGAGCACAATGATGGGAGAGGGAGTGGTGCGATATGCGGTCTAGAGGAACCATCAATACATAGGATGACACCTTGAATCACCCTGAATGCTTTGTGCTCTCGTTTACTCTCTTTTCAATTTTCAATGTTCTCACGCGCCTACTGCGTTTCCAACGCACTTCGGTTACTTCGGTACGCCGTAGTGCCGTATGAGCTGATCACGGACACCAACCAATCAACCAACCAGCCGTCCAACCAACCCTAAACCCAGCCTGCCGGTCACTGCCGACGCCTCGCGCCTCGCGCCTCGTGTCGCCGGCAAAGGAAAGCGTCATTGCAATGAATACAGCAGCGACATCTGTCTGGATGCGACCATGATATCGATTATGCGAGAGGCCTTTGGCCAATCACATTCGTCATTTCGTTTGACGGCAGATACGATCGGCTAATTTGATATGGATTAAAGCTACGCTCCACTTGATGCTACAAATACTTCGAAGAATTTTTTCATTGATTAATTAGTAAAATTCTTTTTTTCAATTGGTCAATCAAAAGTTTCAAAGCATTTGTAGCGCCAAGTGGACTGTACCTTAAGTTTCTTGAAGTGACCCCTAAAAGTGCGGGTACTGTGCGATTTCATCCTAAGGGTGAAATCACATGATGCGGAAAAGGATTGCGGAATAGAAAATGCGTCATTGAAACAACCAATTAGTGCTATTCGGAATAACGTGTGATTTCGCCTTAATATGTTTGAGCAGTAATTTTACTAAAATTGAATTTAATGTACGAGATACACTAAAGCGGGAAGCACAGACTCTCACATAACGCATAACACATAAGAAATCCAATCAATCGGAGTTTTTTATTTTAAAGGAAAGAACCGAAAGACTTTGATTGGTACATTTTCTCATAATGCATTATGTATTATGCATTGTGCAAGAATCTGCTCTCCGCTTAATAGTGGATTAATTAGGTTTAATAGATTAGGGTATATCCACACAAACTTGCATAGTCGCATAAACGTATGCATAACGAAAATTATCCAATTATATTTATATTTATTATATTACGTGTGCTTTTATAAGAGATATGCTATTGAATAATAACCCTAACCTGTTATATACCGATAAGAAGGAAATACTCGAAGATGATTAGTCAATTTTTACAGATTACTCTTTACTTTTTTACTCTATTCTTTTATTCTTTTTACTCTTTTTAAGATTTAAAATTCTTGAATATTGGTTTACACATTTAGATCCAGTGAGGAACTAAGGGCAAAACCAATCATATTAAAGAATTTTACAACTGTTGCAAAACTGCTTTCTTTGCTGAACGTAACCAATGGCCTAGTTTCCAGTCGAGTATTCTTCTGTTACAATCGAATGACAGGGGAATGCTCGACTGGAGTTGGTTGATTTTTACATTCTGATCCGGTTTCAACTCTCAGTGAAAACTAGGCCAATGTCACTTTGTGACTAAGCGATACTTAAAACTCGTTATCTGTCTCTTTTAAAGCCAAAATGAGACAGAAACAGAAAGAGTTTTAAATCTCACTTAAAATCAACAATAAGTAACATTGATGCAATCGGACCTTATAAATCCAACCAATCACATTCAATCATTCGGCAAGCAGACTAGCAGCTTTGTCGGACTTGAACGCGCCCATTGTGTTTCCAGCTTTAATCTCCAAGGCAACTGATGGTAACTGTCAACAACATAAATATGTATGGAAGAAACAGGGATTGATTGCGTTCCATCAAATTAAGAAAGAATTGTTTTATCTGTGTTTTTAAATGCTTTAATAATATGAAATATCTTTTTTGAAACGAGTGTTATAGTATGTATGATTACGCTTATTTATACTAATTTATATAATGTTAAATTTTAATTAAATGTATGAGTGCATTCTAATATTCTAATATGTTGAAACAATGACTTTGTATTTTGACATACGAGTGCAAAATCCTGAAAGTGCTTCAATAAGCACTCTTGCAATTTGGCACAATAATTATCCCCTATTAGCTGTTGCTGCGTATTCTCAAGACAAAGGTGGCTTTGTAATCATCTATGATGATCAAGGTGAACTCGTGCAGGATATCGAATCACCGGGACACCCAGTGGCACAAGTCACATCTCTTGGCTGGCATCCAGAGAAGACGTGGCTAGCGACAGGATGGGAAAACGGAGATTTAAGAGTTAGGATCGCAATATTTCAAGCTACAGAAGACAAGTTTGTCATGAGATAAAAAATATATTAAATTATTATTAGGTATGGCCAGGGGACACTGGAACTCAGGAGTTCAATATAATAGTAACCCCTCATCGAGATATCATCACGATTCTGCAATGGAGTCAGTATGGTGGTTGCTTAGTATCTGCAGATACTGGTGGATCTATAGTTGGATGGAAGATAGATTCCAGAGGACAGCTATTCATGACATTTCATCATGAACTAAAAGAATCTTTTTCACAAATTGTATTTAGGACAGTTCCGCTAAAACCAGTTGTTGATGTTAGGTACAAACAACTTATACAAACAACTTAAGTAAAAACAGGTTAAATTATACAAAACAACTTGTGTATTATTTTTCTAATAACATAGGTTATTTCATAATTATTGCAAACTAATATAATAGAAATAAAAAGTACTGAGTTTCAAAGAAGCTGTTTTAAATAAAACTTACAGATGATTAGATGAACATTGATGATATTCTTTTTTTGATCATTTGATTGGATAGCGATTGGTTAATTAATTGTTTATAGTGGTTTGGCAAAGGCAACAGTGGCTGGGGATGAGAGAGCCTGGGATATGTTCAGTTCCTGGCGTCCAAGAACAGCTGCACCAACAGCAGTTCCAGTACAACGGGACAATCATTCGTTTTATATTGGCACTGTAAATGGTATCATATACTATGTTGACGTTCAAGGACAATGCAAGGAAGTTCTTAGTACTGATGGTGCAGTGTTGCACTGCTTATTGTATCATCAAAACAGAGATTCTATCATTGTTATGACAGAAGGATTGAACATCGGGCACTTTCAAGCAGATTCAATCACTGGAGAGCTCACCGAATTAACAAAGGTTTATGCTATTGAGTTCTATTACTGCTATATCTACATGTTATTTCTATTCAAAATTTAAAAATACTATATATGACAAATTCAAATTCTGCATCAATATTATTGATTATGTATTATACAGATTCAATTTTCCGAGAAATTTTATTCATGAAAATATATAGAGTATAATTTGTTCATTCAGGTGTGGCACAACGCAAAATACTAACAATATTTGAACGCGCGAATTTTAGATGATATGATTCACTAGTTTTAAATGCTCACAATTCAAAAATTATTATTATAGCTTCGATATTTTGGTATCAGGATTTTTATTTCAAAATGAAACAAAATCTTAAGTATTATTATGATCTTTATCGGCCACCCTATACAATAAACGAGAATATATAGTATAATATTTATACATATATTTAGTACATCCTTCTATGAAAACCTCGAAGTCTTCTCGAATATTTTTTTTAACGAATATTTTTTTTATAAAATTAAAAATTAATTTCATTCTTTTTGCATTTTCTTACAGTTTAACATTTTAAAGTGCACTTTAAAGCCATTATACACAAGCCCACGTAAACATTTATTCGTAGAATTAGCACATTAGTTTATCAGAAACATTTTTCCGAATACACTGTTTTAATGTTATTTTATATACATATTTTTTCCGTTTTTACTACATTTAAACATCTTTTTTACACCCAAAAACAATTTTCAATTTTTTAAACCCATTACACTAGGATGACTCCATAATAAAGGGATAAACGTTTATTAAAACATAAAAATATTCGAAAAAACGTTTTTCATAGATGGATGTGCTAAATATACATGTGAATGTATGTTTATTTAAACGTACAATAACGAGCCTTACTTAAAACATATATACTCGGAAAAACATTTCTAATAAACGGATATGCTGATAAACGTGTTTTCGTTTAAACGTATAATAGTAAGCCCTAATTGAGCATTTGTAGAATTTATATATAAGGACGCAATATAGTTTTTTTATTTTAAAAAACTATATACGATAACAAATAATATTATGATAATACATAAATATATAGATTTTCTATATTTAAAATAAAACAATAGAGTTAATTGATATTAAGCGAAAATGAATGAGAGAAGAAATGTTTAACACAAATGAGTGAAGAGCATCATATTCGGTCAAGGCGGCTCTTACAAGGGATATGTATTTTGCTCAGACACTTAATAATTTAAGAGACATTAAGCTTTAAAATTGGACTATACTTTTTATAGTTGGAAAACTCTAGATCGCTGCTTCAAATGTCAGTGACAATTTTTTTTTTAATATTAGCTTGTTTTATAATAAGTATTTAGAAAGTTTAAAAATATTTACAAACATTTTAGAAAAATTTAGAAACATTTAGAAAGTGGCACATAAATAGAATTAATATATAAGATGTTTTTAGATGAAAAGTTCTTTAAAATTAATTCTTTGTCTTTCTGATTAAAAATGACGTGGAAGACGTATTTTATATAGATAAAATTTTTTTTAAATGGTAAAAAAAAATTGTCACTAGTGGTATTTGAACCAACAATCGAGAATTTTAAAAGTGTCCGACTAGTTTCATAACTTAATGTCTTTTAAACTATTGAGTGTCTGAGCAAACGGCAAAATACGTGTCGATTTTTTTTCAATACCCAATATATTGGCAAAAATTCAGAGCAATTGAGGAAAAACACCTCGCGTCATTTCCTTGTTAGTGACTAATACTATATATAATATTTTTATGTGAATTTTTACAATTTCTAATTCAAATAAACTACGCGCCGATTATTTATCCGTTTTGAAATACAGTGTTAAAACAAAATTGTTAAAAGCTGTAATATAATATCGCAAATTAAACTGACAAACAATTTTATTGTTAATAAGCATCTTTTGTTGTAAAAAATGCATAAACGGGGAGCAATCTTTGATCTTGATATATGTTGTCAAGATCATGACCCTGAGTGACAGATTTTATGACCTCAATGACCTCGAACAGATTTTAGCCGTCACTCGTTATTCGTTAAAAAGTTATTAATAAAAAAATATTTAAAAAAATAATTCTGTCTTATTTCTGCTGTATATGATATTGAGGACTATTTCACCTTCCAGGATCTTTCCTACTTAAATAATGACATGCAGAGCGAGATCTATCCCACCTTTCCAGAGCAACTTTATTTTATTATCAAGAAATTATTATATTCAATACTTATACTTATTTCAGGTAAAACTAAGTGGCAGAAATGATACATCACGTACCACTAGTACCACCTTATGCTGGATTAGCAGAAATACATTGGCTGTACTCACAGGAGAGCTCGCTGTACGGTGCTGGGATATTCACACAGGCGATACGTACATTCTGTCGCCTCCGAATTCATCTAATGGAAATGTCGCCACTCCTCAGGAAATATGTACTAGCTTGGCATTTTGCAAGGCAAATGGTAAGACATTAATGTGCTTTCGAAATTTTAAATCAGACTTCGGCTAGAATTGATCAAGTATACGGACTAATATTTCCTGATAAACATGTACCAATATTTTAGTAGTAGCATTTACACACTGTATGTCCGGAAGGTTTTCTTCTCTCTCTCGTATAAACACAAATCTTATTTATTTATTTATAAGTTAAATCTTACATTACAATGACATGCATATATGTATAGAGCATGAAAATGTGTTCACATCGCAATGTTGCGTGGCAGTCGAATATTCCTGTCATTTGATTGTAAGAGGGAAATGCTCGACTATGATTAGTCAATTCTTACAGATTACGGCCATTATAAATGATTTCTTAAAAATTGAGAAAACTATTGTACTATTAGCTCCATTCAATGCAGTTTATCACATATAGATTTAGCAGTGTTGACATTGTCCACTTGGAACTATGTTATAAACAAAGTCCGCAATGAAATAATGATTGCTGACATTACCACTGTTGGGTGGACAGTATTGACTTTGTTCACATGAAATCGAGTCATGTTCGCTAATAAATCATTTTATTTTGCCCAATCGCGTTGTGCAATGTTAACATGGCCCGGGCAATGCCGACATTGCCCACTAAGCGGACTTTGTCCATAACATATCCATTGAAGTAAATTTGAGGACAATGGACTAAAAAACATTCCACGATTTTCAGACACTTTGGCCGCCGGCACCAATCTAGGTACAATCTACTTATGGAAGAGAAAATGTGTGCTTGATTGCGATGAGAATTCCTGGCCGAAAATCCCAGAGACCTGTGCGATTCACGGCACAGTAAAGCAACTGGAATGGGGTGTTAGTTTATCACGGAATTCTCTCCTGGCTGTTAACTGTATTACCAATGTGTTCATCTTGCATCAACAGCCAATGTGCGCCGTGTACAATAATAGTGTTTGCGCGAGTCAGCTCACTCCGACACAGATTCTGCTTGAGATGGACGAACAGACATATATTCTAAAAACGGAGATCCAGGTGCAGATTATCGCTGTATCAAGAGAATACATCGTCGTCTCTTCTGGAAGACAAATCGTTGTCAATTGTATTAATAAAGGCGCCAATCTTAATACGAATGTATTGACAACCTTCAACTGCGACACGGAAAAGATATTGATCTACGAACACACATTGATCGTGTTGACTCCAACGATCATTCAGTTGAGATCCATAGAAGGCTCTATTATTCAGACACTTCCCACTTTACCGGAGGAGGGCGAACCAATCACGATGGAATTGACAGGTAAAAATCTTTAATTGACATAAAGTGTCGTGAGTTTTTCTTATCATCTAAAATTTTAACAACAAAATACTCTTATTACTGCATTATAAATATTATACTCACACACACACACACACAATATTTTGTAGGGCATTATTTAACGGTAGCATCATTAAATGGCATTCTGAAGATTTGGAATCTGAGCAAACACGAGGCTAAGCTACACACCCGCGCCATGGCGACATATGAGGCGATTAGCGATTTTGCCGAAATCATTGAAGCTAGATGTAATTCGGATTGCCGTTGCGTCTCAATCACTGTTGCCATGGCAAATCTCATGCCCAGTTCGATTTTATACATTTGGGATATTGAAAGCGATCAGATTTATGAATTTGACTTTGGAGAGTCAGACGACATCGTTGATGATGACACTGTGTTGTGAGTAAATAAGCTGAAAATTCGACACAACCGTATTAAATCACAGATCAGAATTAATATTTTCCATTAATTGATTTTGTATGTCCTTGATAATACTGATACTACTTTTAGAACTGCACAATGCAAAGGAAGATTAGTAACAGCGCATTGCTGGGACGTTGAGGATCCCAGACTATTAGTATGTCGAGCTCAAAAATTAGAAAAACGTGATTCTAAAAGCTTCAATAAGGACAATGATTGGGTAATGTCTATAAAATTGCCTCTATTTAGATTGTAGATTAAATATCTATATACTTTATAGCAGAAACTTTCATAACTCAATTTTTCTACTGGCATTGTTCTCTCATTATTACTTTATGTATACATATAATGTCGTACATATATTACCCTTTTACAGATTAATGTGCGTGCGTGCGTGTGTGAATAAGAAAAATCCTATATTCAGTCGAAGCGAATCTTAATGCTTAAAATAATTTATTTTATAATTTCGTTAGATATTATTATTTTTTTATCAAATATTTAATATAATTTAATAATCTTATATGATTTAATAGTCTTTCTAAAACCGAATATATATGACATTAAAATAAAATAAAAATTAGTATAAAATAATTATACATCGTAGGCGAAACATGTTTTGACTTTATACAGGATGTCTCCGACATCTCCTACGAGATCGTCTCTCGTGAACAAATAGAGCGGACTGAATTGAGCCGAAAAGTCCTGTACCATTTTGCAATTTTTGCAATACTTTAGGAGATATTAATTTCTAAAGACCATTGAATAAACATATCCGCGCGGACTGTTGCCAAGTATACGCCAAGTAGGCCCATTCTACAATCAGTCGTATGTCGGAATCGGGCATCGTACGCATGCGCATTGGATTGTCGGCTGTCTAATGAAGTTGTTGCAAGTCGGTTGTCGTCGGAATAGAAGATGGTCCATTCCCATTTTTTCTGACTACGACTAGATGAAATATAACCTTCGGACACATTTGTGTATGGATAAACAGATATTTTTATATGGATATATGGATATATTAATATTATATTATGGAATCACTGAATGTAGATGAAATAATTATTAATTTTGTTCGCGAAAATCATTGCTTGTATGATAAATGCGATGTGGATTTTAAAAATGTTAACAAAAAAAGAGATCTGTGGCAAAAAATATTCACAAATTTGAGAAACTGTTATGATATAAATATGTCAAGTAATTTTTTGTTTGTTAAATTATTATTATTTAATATAAAAATATTTTGTGTTTTAATTATTTTGTATCAAACTTAAGAAATGCCTATAAGAGCTGACACTGGGTGAATTCGTGTATATAAATTTATTCAAGTTTAATAATTTGAATAATATACGTTTCGATCATCGTTTTGATTCTTTTCAATATTATAAAACTAATTAAATCAATACATAGTAGTTGTCAAGCAAGTGAAGTTGCATTATTCTATAATACAATCATATAATTTGCGTCCAAATTAATAATAAATTTGAATATGTATTCAAAGTTTCAATATCCATTTGTTCCGATCTTCCGACTTCGATCAACTCAGTAGATTGTATTATAGAATAGCAAGTCGTATTCATGTGCGACATACAATATACGACAAACGACTAGCGACAGCCGACATCGACATACGACTGATTGTAGAACAGGTCTAAATCGGTTTACGATAGCTTGTCGCACGGGGATTATCCGATACTTGACTGCTTAATAGACGCTGCGCGTGCTAAGCACTATAACTCAAGCAGCTTACCAAGTAACCGCATTTCACAAGGACACATGCTTATTCATTGATTTAGAAATTAATATTTCTTAAAGTATTGAGGCAATCGCAAAATGGAAAACTTGACTTTTCGACTCACAATCAATTCAATCCGCTCTACCTGATTCCAAAGGTCAGGGTAATTTTAACATATTTCGTCACCCATCATGAGCAGGTAGAGTGACTCGAACTGATTCGAAAAGTCCTCTACCATTTTGCAGTTTATGCAATAGTTAACAAGATATTAATTGCCAAACTAAAAATTGCCAAATATTGGTCTTGAATAATTTTTTACTCAAATACTATCAACTTTATAGAAAAGCTGCAAGAGACAAAAATCATTTATTTTCTTTCTCATAAAGTTCTGAGAATTTTTTCAGAATTTTTTAATATCGTATTTTCTTATAATATGTTGGTAAAAATAAGAAAATGCAATACTAAAAAGTTGATAAAAAATTCTGAAAAAATTTTTAGAGTTCTATAAGAAGAAAATAAATGATTTTTGTCTCTTGCAGCTTTTCTATAAAGTTGATAGTATTTGAGTAAAAAATTATTCAAGATCAATATTTGGAAATTTTTAGTAATTAATATCTCTTAACTATTGCAAACTGCAAAATGGTAGATGACTTTTTGATCTCAGTTCGATTCACTCTACCTACTCATGATGGGTGATGAAATAAAATTATTCTGTATATGCATATACACATAGGGTGTCTGACAATTAATGATAAAATTCTCGCATAGCAACAAAATGGACTAAATCGATTTCCTCGAAGAATACTCTGTATATATGATAATGTAATAATCAACTGTAGCAGATTTTGAATCAACTGGGTTGGATTAAGGCTTTGCTATTGGTTGACGTTACATGTTCTATCAATTGTAGAGATTGCAGCATCATCTAACCAGATCGGTTCAAAACCCGCTACACGCTATAAGTGATTATCAATTATAAAATTTAGATTTAAGAGTAAGATTAATTATTAATTATATTTTTTTTTATAGATTGTACAAACCTCTGTGGTGTTAGTATCGTTATTCGCGACATCGGATCACGGTATCGTTGTACAGGATGTGAAGCCAATTACTGATGAGAATTGCCGATTATTAGGTGTACACTCGCCACATATCATTATTTTAAATTCCGAAAAGAGCTTGGATAGATGTAGCAAGATTATGCAATTATTAATGAGAGACTTTGAAGAACTAGGAGAGTGCGATTCTATCACCAGAAAAGCGGTGATGGATTTCAGTTTTCATATTAGTGTGGCGAACATGGAGGAAGCCTTTAAAGCAATTAAATCTATAAAGAACGAAGCTGTCTGGAAGAGTCTGGCCAAGATGTGCGTAAAAACAAAGCAACTGAACATGGCTCTTCTTTGCCTGGGTCACATGAAGCAAGCTAATGCTGCGCGGGCTTTACGTGAAGCAATGCAAGATGATACTCTAAGCTTAGAAGCACAAGTAGGAATTTTAGCCGTCGAACTTGGCCTTCATGTAAGTTATTAAATATACATTTAATAGGGTTATCCTGGAGGTGTCTGTTTTACCGATTACTTTTTAAATAAGTATAATCTTTTTCTATAATTAAAGTATAAACGATGTAGTTAAAACCGGTTGATTATGCAAAAAACGAAAAAAAATTGAAAGATTACAATTTTATTATTTGCTTCTGGCATCGATTCCTAACAATATTTACTTTATATACAAGTTTTATAATTTGTACGTATAAAACAAGCTTGATTTGGATCAAGGATTACATGAACAAACAATATTAAGTTAGAATTGGGTTTAGGTATGTAATATGAAAAATTAGTTAGTAAATTTGTATGTGTCCTTGCGGTATTGATGTAGTAGTGATGTATCAATGACAACAGAAATCGTATGTATGCAGATCTTATTAAATCGGTAAAACAGATAATATTAGTATATTTTTAGTGAATATAGAGAGTATACATCCAAAATATGTATTAATTGTATAATCTTCAATCCTTACTAATAGACTGATGCTGAACGTCTATTTCGAGAAGCGAAACGTCTAGATCTGCTAGGACGGTTATACGAAGGGCGGAATAAGTTTAAGGAGGCAATCGAATTAGCTAGTAACGAGAATAAAATCCGTGAAAAAACAAGTTACTATAATTATGCTCGTGCATTGGAGCAGCAGGATAGAGTGGCAGAAGCTATCGATATGTACACGAAAGCCGATTGCCATCGATTTGAAGTGCCTAGAATGCTTTTGATGAGACCCCGAGAGTTACTCACATATCTGAATAATTCCGAAGAACCGTAAGTAACAGGAATATTAATTAAATGCGTTGATTGGAAGATAATTAGTTGTAGTGTAGTCAAATTAATATCATCGTAGGGAGATTAAAAATTGGCATGCTCAGTATACTGAATCGACCGGCGATATGGAGACCGCTTTACATCTTTATGAGCAAGCAAAGGATACTCTGTCGATGACGAGGTTGCTTTGTTATTTCGATAGAGAGAATGAAGTGTGTGAGCTAGTAACTAGAACAAATCACTCTGCAGCGGCATATCATCTTGCTGCGCATTATGAATCGAAGAATAATGTGGTACAGGCGATTCATTTCTATACAATTGCTAGAGCTTATACTAATGCAATACGGTTATGTAAGGTGAGGCATTCAATTGTTAAAAACTTAATGCCTTTATTTATCCTATTTTGAATCACTTGACGAGAGTTAGTAAATCTTTGCAATATTTATTATCTCTGTAGGAGCACGACATGCTGGAAGAACTGTGGCCACTGACTATATTAGCGCCACGGAACTCGCAGATAGATGTCGCCAAATTTTATGAGAACAATGATCAACCGGATCGTGCAGTACTGTTATACCATAAAGCTGGTCTCTTGCATAAAGCTTTAGACGTCGCGTTCAGAACGCGACAGTACAGTGCGTTGCAACTAATTATCATGGACGTAAATGCGGATTCTGATCCGGCATTAATTCACAAGTGCGCCGATTATTTCATGCAGAACGACCAAATTGATAAGGCAGTGGATCTACTCGCGACCGGCAGAGATTATATGGCGGCTTTGGATCTGATCCAGCAACATAATGTCGTACTAAACGAAGAACTCGCAGAAAAGCTGACGATTGAAAAAGGGAGCGACGACGACGCAGAGCGCGAGCGTATGAGAATTTCTACGCTTGAGAAAATCGCAGAGATTACCTTCGATCAGGGAAATTATCATCTTGCAACTAAGAAATTCACGCAAGCTGGCAACAAGTTACGCGCCATGAAAGCATTGCTTAAATCTGGAGACACTGAAAAAATCTGCTTTTTCGCGCAGGTTTCGAGGAACCGCGAGATCTACATCATGGCGGGCAATTATTTGCAATCTTTGGATTGGCAAAATCAACCAGAGATTCTAAAAAACATAATTAATTTCTACTCCAGGGGTAAAGCCATGGATTTATTGGCGAATTTTTATGTGGCATGCGCGCAAGTGGAGATCGACGAGTTTCAGAATTATGAAAAAGCGTTGGACGCATTGAACCAAGCGAATAGGTGTTTATCCAAGGTGGTGACGCCGCGAGATCCAGATGTTCACAAACGGGCAATAGAGTTGGTAAACAATAGGATGTCGGCAATTAAACGCTATTTGGATATTAAAAGGTAAATCCAAGATGATTAGAGATCTAGGCTCATATTTTTATACGAAATATTGTACCGTAGATATCATATTTTCAACATATTTGCGTTCATCATAATCCATATCCTTATTTAAATATAATAGAAATTCCTTTAGATACAATATTTTGTTTCTATTAAGTTTTGCTTCCGCCGTTTTTTTTCCGAAATTCGAGACTTTATTGTAAAAAACTGGTTATACATTTATGATTCAAAGTATTGTCCATCGCTGGCCACTACTTTCTCCCATCTTCCGGGCAGCGTATGAATCCCGAATCAAAAAAACTGGTCCTCTTTTGAGGCGATCCACGAATCGATCCAATTTTTTACTTCTTCATAAGACCGAAAGTGCTGGTCAGCCAGGCCGTGTGCCATTGATCGAAACAAGTGATAGTCAGAGGGAGCAAAGTGTGGAGAATACGGTGGGTGGGGTAGGACTTCCCATTTCAACGTTTCCAAGTATGTCTTGACCACTTTCGCAACATGGGATCGAGCATGCAAAATCACTTTATCGTGTCTTTCGTTGTATTCCGGCCGTTTGTCTTTCAATGCTCGGCTCGAATGCATCAATTGCGTTCGATACTGATCGCCTGTGATGGTTTTAGTCGGTTTTAACATCTCATAATACACTACGCCGAACTGATCCCACCAAATACAGAGCATGACCTTGGAGCCGTGAATATTCGGTTTCGTCGTCGACGTGAAAGCATGGCCGGGAACTCCCCATGATTTTCTGCACTTGGGGTTATCGTAATGAACTCATTTTTCGTCCCCAGTCACAATGCGATCCAGAAATTCCTTCTGTCTTTGCCTTTCAAGCAGCTATTCACAAACAAACAAACGCCGTTCAACATCTCTCGGCTTCAATTCGAACGACACCCAATTTCCTTGCTTTTGAATCATTCCCATGACTTTGAGGCGTTTTGAAATGTCTTGTTGAGTCACTCCCAATGATCGTGCCAATTCTTCTTGATTTTGACACGAGTCTTAATCAAATAATGCCTCCAATTCTGCATCTTCGAAAACCTTCTCTTTTCCATCGCTATGCCGGTCTTCGACGTCAAAATCACCGTTCTTGAAGCGTTGAAACCATTCACAACACGTTCTTTCACTAATAATGGCCTCACCATAAGTATTTGAGAACATTCGATGAGCCTCAGCCACAGATTCCTTCAAATTGAAGCAGAAAATTAAAACCTCCCGCAAATGACGAGAATTTGGGTCGTAAACTGACATTTTCAATCGAGAATAACTTTATGATGCAGACACAAATCAACTAATATTTCTATGGGTTATGTTGACAGATGCCCAAGTTTATTGTATGACGTCTATGATCTATTTATTTCGATCACCACTTATCGCTAAAGCTCTCTATCGGAAAACGGCGGAAGCAAAATTGTATACCTAATATATGAATTGTATTTTAATTGAATATAGATTTATTCTGTATATTTAAATATCTTATTTTTTCTCATTACACAGATTGTTTGATAGAGGTGAGACAGAAACGGCAATGCAACAGGTTCGTCATCTGCTCGACTCTCAAGGACCCAATTTAGAACAGTCAGTGCGTCGCGGCGATCTGTTCGCAACGATTACACAGCATTATGCCAATATAGGGGACACAGAGAAAGCTTGGGCGACCATCGAAGAACTAAAACGTCTAGTGCCAGGAATCAATTTGACTTACTACTTTAATATAAATCTTCTAGAAGCATTGGGCTATAAAATGAAAGTGCAGCGACAGGACAGTTCCGACAAGGATGATGGAATCGAAGAGCTCCTGGGAGAGTAAAACTTCATTAAAATCGACTTTAAGAGAATGCTGGAGTGATGATCGAATTTGATCGATGTCAGTAGTACAGACTTCTTAAATTTCAATTTTAAAATATTGTAAGAAATAAGCGACAACACGAAAAAAAAAATTAGGTTCCTCCGAGATTCGAACTGAGATCTGATCTCCTTCATATATTATAGTAAATATGAAGGAGATCAGATCTCAGTTCGAATCTCGGAGAAACCTAATATTTTTTTTCGTGTTGTGCTTCCGTTCTGCCACCGAGACGTACAGCCCTGATGCTGATAGCTTCTCTGTTGTGCCTATTTTCTCTAAATTTCTTACAATGTTAATAATCGTAATATCAAGTAATTCATTTCTTACATTATATTGCTTTGTCTCATTTAAACACATACTATTCTATTCTCTATAATTTGCAATTGAATATAAATTTTTTTTTAAGGTTTCAATCTTAGTACCATAAGCTCAGATAATTCGCTCACGTGGATAGTGCAATATTATTTGTCCATATAAACTATTGAACTTTTGTATTAGGGAAACATCTATGTCAGGTGACATCTCTATGAATTGAAAAAATGTAAATTTTTAACTTTCCTTTCGCTTTTAATATATATCAACTGCCCCGTCTCCTAACTTTGCATCTACTTCAATCTTGTAAAAGGATTTTTTATTTCTCAGTCCATTCGGAGATTTTTACACGGCTATAATGTGTCCATAATTTCGTTACTCCAGTATCCTTTAAACTGCTTAATAAATTTGTACATAAAAAGTCCCGGTAAGCATATAATATAGTATATTTATTATTCGTTAATCGATCCAGGAGTAATCATTTAGTACTTTTTTGCTTTTGATTATTTAGACGTTTTTTTATACTATAATTATAACAGATTTATTCTGAAAATATATTTCTGAAAGTTAAGAATAAATGTTAAAAAAAGGTATAAATTTTCAATCAGTAAAGAAAACTAAATTTTTTTATCTTTATTTTCTTATTATTATGATGTAAAAATTACTCCAAATGATTATTCTCATATTAAAATCGATTTTAAACCGTGCTCAGTAAGTTTATAGATAAATAGTGCCTGAATAATGTAATTGTGAGTGTAGTTATAATACAGTGTATTTAATGAAAATGTTATCAAATATACCATGACAAAACGTTTCATATGATAGTCTAATTTAATTTTGTATATAATTTTTAATTAAATTTATATCAAGACACAGGTAGTGTCTAGACGCTAAGAGCTCGCGCAGCGACATTATAGCATAAGATCGGCCGTATTACTTTACAAGAGCTGGCGAGTTGCAAAGATCTCAACTAAATCAATCAAGTTCTAGACTCAATCGATAGCTTGCACTCTGATTGTATAATGAAAGTGCTTCTTTTTTGTATGTATCCTACGAGCAAAGATATTACGCAGTCCGGATTTGAAACTTTTTTTATATCAAGATATCTCATCGTCGTTGTCATTATCGTCGATCCCGAAAATGTACTGTTATAATTTTTGGCGCAAGAGATGCTAGATGTAATGTAGTTTCTGGCTCAAGAAGGGCTAAGCGTGATATATTGTTGCATCTTCTGACGTAAGAGGCTGTAACAATGTATGATCAGAGTAGCGATCATGTAATTTTTTCTTTAGAACGGAAACATGAAAAGTGAACATTTTTATGGATGTTATGTATGTATATATACATACAAAAAAATCTCATGATATAGTTACCAAATGAATATTTTACAAGATATTTTATATACTAAATTTAAAAATAAAATATAAAATATCTTATTGATGTTGTGATAACTCAACTTTAATACTTTATATAATAATTTACATAATTAAAAATGGGCGATCTCCTTATATAATTGAAAATTGAGATTTCCTTGAATATTTATCGCCCTTCAAACTATACAGTTTTTGTCTGAAACAGTTTCCATAGGATAAATAATTTCGGAGATAATTAACCATTTTGAGACTGTTTACTCTCATTTTTCTTTCTAGAGTTATAGTTACACTGGCCGATTTTCGGAAATTAGAAAATATCTTTTATGGACTCTCTCATTCGAAATGTTTTCTTTTCAGTCTTTAAACAAACGTCGATTAAATACAATTAATTCAAGTGTATTACAAGAGGTAGAACACGTGAGATTAGAAATATCCCCGGCGAAAATTTATCTTATATATTGTATGTATAATTTTTCAAAAAAAATTGAAATTGTATGCTGTATGTATGTACATATACCAGGATTGCAACAGACCTGGCAAACCGGAAAAGTCAGGGGAAATAATAATATAATTTTTTGAATATTATATCTGACGTTTATAGTCAAATACGTTTAAAACTCGAGCATTTTGAACGATTTTTAATGAAATAATTAAAATTTATATATATTTTGTTCAGTATTTTTATTACAGCTCTTTTTTCATTATAACTTCATTCTTTTTCCAATACTAATTTATTGTTTATTGGCTCGAATTTGCACTCAAAATTTTACTATGCTATTAAGCTTCTTTTGCGTTTTAATAATATAAATTAGCTTTCCTATAATCCTTTATTCTAAATGTTAAAATTTACATATTCTATATTAGTCATGGAAAATTTTCCATTTTCATTTAGAAAATCTGGAAAAGTCAGGGAATTTTACAATTTATTTCTTGTGGTATCCCTGTATACATTCTTATACTCATATTTATCATTGATGATATTTTTATTCCATCTATGTTGTCAATAAGATTTCTATATCAGACTACAGTTAGAGGTCAAAGAACAAATTATTCCTTTATATGTAATCACAAATAACTGTAACAAAGAAGAGATATAAATTTCAAAATGAATATATTGACTAAAGTTCGTATAATTTCTAATAAATTAAGTATTCACTATTACAGTAGAAAAGTTGGTATAATCGGAGTACCTTTTGATAAAGGCCAGGTAAATATAAAATAGCCAAACAGCGAATAATTTTAGTTTCGATATCCAATAGTGCATATGTTAAATAAAGGATTAGTATAATAAACAAGAGTATTGAATGTTATAAAAATAGTAAATTTTATAGAAAAAAGAAGGAGTAGCTCGTGGACCCGAGACAATCAGAGCAGCAAATCTGATAGACAAATTGAAAATATATATATATCTTTTGTATAAACATAAGTATACATAATTTACATTTATTCCACAAAAAAAGATTTGGATGTGCGAGATTATGGCGACGTGCACTACAATATAAATAATATGAATGATATAAAAAATATGTCACATTTGGGCCACGTGGCTAGTTGTATGAATAACTTATCTGAACAAATTCGACAAGTTTTACGTGATGGTAGGCAAGTATTAACAATCGGTGGTGATCACAGTTTGAGCATTGGTACAATCGATGGACATGTCAAGGTACAAAAGAGAAATATTTTCATAGAAAAATCAATAATTTTCATTAAATTCAAATATTACATTTTTTTCATAGGAAAAACAAGATGTGGCAGTAATATGGATAGATGCTCATGCAGATTTAAATACTAACAAAACCAGTGAAAGTGGTAATGTGCATGGAATGCCCGTAGCATTATTGACTTCGGAACTAGCTGATTATTGGCCGTATTTACCAGGCATGGACTGGCAAATGCCAATGTAAGAATGTTATGATATTCAGAACATTAGTTATTGTTTTTTAAGCTATATCAAATGAATTAAAATTATTATATTAAAACAAATATAAACAATAAATTTAATCAATATATCACTTTTTTAGATTATCTATCAGAAATGTAGCTTATATTGGTTTGAGATCCATAGATCGTTACGAAAGATTAATAATTGAAAAATTTGGTATTACTGCTTATGGAATGGAAGACATAGAACGTTATGGTTCGATTGTAAAACAATTTTACATTGATTATATTACATATAACATTAAATAACTATTTAATACTAATGTTTTTAGGTATTCACAATGTGCTACATATGGCACTTAATAAAATAGATTCTCATAACTCAAGATCTTTACATGTTAGCTTTGATATAGATGCATTAGATCCGCTCGAAGCACCTAGTACTGGAGTACCAGGTTTGTAATGTATGTATTGTATCAAGCATGCATAAATAGTATTATAAATCCTTATATTTGCATATAGTTCGTGGAGGACTGTCTCTTAGAGAAGCAATTCATCTTATGGAAGAAATATCTAGAACACATAGATTGAATGCTATCGATTTAGTAGAAGTTAATCCACAAATTGGTAATGAACAAGATGTAAAAATGACAGTACAAGCAGCCATACATATTATCCAAGCAGCTTTGGGCTATTCAAGACGCGGTTTGAAAGTACCTGAAGGTGTTACTGACATGCCTTTACAAACTTTCCATTAATTTTTATTTTATATGAATTATTAAAATATTAAAATTGTAATATTTTTTAATTATCTCCAGGTTATTTTCAATTTTAAATATTTTAAATTTATCCTTACAATATTATCTAACTTTTTTATATAGTATTTAATTAAATCTCTAAAAATATTTTGACATAAATATCAAATCTATTTTTCTCTCGAAAACAAGTTTGTTATAATTTTAACTTATTTCACATTGTCTTATTACAAATGTTTTTCCAGGTATATTATCAAATGTAATTTCAATTTTAGATGCTTCAAGTGTGTTTTCAAGTTTACGATTCCATGTCACTTCATAATATAACTTTCCTTTAGTATTAGAACCTGTAAGTGGAACTTTAAACCATTTGTAATTTTGTGTAATTTTTGTATCTTCATGTTCAAGTATTCGATGTCCATCACCGTAAGTGATGCGGCCCAACGATATAGGTTCTCCAAGATATGGTACAGCTTTCTTATGTGCATGTAGGGTATTCATAACATCTTTATAAGTCTCACTTTTTTTAATATCATATTGTATACGATAATAGAAAATATAACCTGTACTTGCTGTTATAAATCCTCCCAAACTTGCTATTTTCATGAGCTTCTGATTCGATACCATACTGGAATAAAATAACTTGATATAAAAAATATATTTTTATATATCCTTATAAACAATTTAGCTCGTTTTATAGACAATATAACCATTAACTCACATCAGTTTTTTATTGCACTGAGTGTACCAGTTCAGAAAGTGCAGCGATAAAGAACAGATCTATTGAAACCGGTAGCTCAACACATAAAGCGGTGTCCATCTAATAATAGGTGCATTCAGTAGCCTAAGGTTTGTTGCGTCGCATGCTCCAAATTAATTCAAAGAGCACTTGAATCACGGATAAGATGGCGGTTGGAGCAGTTCCATTCATGCTCCAATGTTTAGTGACACGAATGGATTTAAGAAAAGTGAGCATGTCACCTAATCTAATCCATGAAACCACTCGAGCGGATCGGACATGTGCCTCCTTTCGTTTCAGGTATTTTGTGTTATCTCGATTATTTGAAAAGCGTTTTTATACCAAATAAATGAGTTTTTAATAAATATAAAAGTTATATTATATTTTTGTATTATATTATATATTATTATATTGTATTATTATATTGTCTTATATTTTATTGTATTATTTTATTTTATTTTTTAATTTTTCTTATTTTATTTATTTTATTTTTTACTTTATTTTATTAATATTATATTATATTGTTATATTTTTATATTTATATCAAAAACGCATTTATTAAATAGTAAGGGGATAGATTTTAAATTCCAAACCAACCAATGGTACTCATAGATGCATTTCAAAAAATTCCCTAGCCTAATCGAATTTAGGGAGTTGATTGTGTATTTCGAAATGAGATGAAAATTACAAAAGTGTTGAATTATGAATTTTCTAGTAAACCAA